GGACACGAGAGCGAAATTTGCAAACAACATCGCACGACGGTTTAAACAGATCCCAGCGATGACAACTGATTTTGAAACCGAGTGGCAGCTGTTTAAGAGAGACCTACTCGAGGCTGCCGCCGAATGCTGCGGATATAAACTGGTTGGTCTGCCGCCTGGAAGAGTGGCAGCTGTTTAAGAGAGGCCTACTCGAGGCTGCCGCCGAATGCTGCGGATACAAACGGGTTGGCCTACCGCCTGGAGGTCAGCAAGATCATCATGGTGGACACGAGAGGTACAACTGGCAGTTAAAGAGAAGAAAGCAGCGTTCAAGAAATGGTTTGGAAACTAGGACAATTCCACTCACGTGCGATATGTCCAGGCACGCAAGACGGCAGCCAAAGCAAATTCTTGTGAGAAGTTCGGTAAGGTGTTGGCATGAGCTTTACACAAGCCATACAAAGTATTTCGTCAGACCATCCGCCGGCACGGAGGAGAAAAGAACTGCAGTCTCAGATTCTTGAAGGACAGATCTGGACACCCTCTTACCAAGGATGGTGAGCTTATTCGGCGATGTGGGGAGTACTTTGAGGAACTCCTTATCCCGACGAACCGCAGGAAGACTCGCCTCTTGAGCAGAAGGGTACGGATATTACAACCTCTGTAAATGAAATTACATAAACGGTGAAAAGCTTGAAAATGGAAGGGCTGCTGGATCTGCAGCAGTCCGCCTTCAGATGCTCAAGGCATTCGGCGAACAAGGCATGTGCTGGCTATAACGTGTGTATCAAACATCGGTTACTGCTGGAAAGACACCAGCGCAATGGAGAACGGTAGTTATTGTACCCATATTCAAGAAGGGAGACAACAAGGAATGCTCCAATTATAGGGGCATAACTTTATTGAGTCTCGCAAGTAAGGTCTACGCAAAGGTTGTAGAATGGCGGTGCCGTGAAATAGTTGAACTCAAGATCCAAGGAGAGCAGTGTGGCTTCCGGCCCGGTCGAAACACCTCTGACCCTCCGCCAGATTGTTGAGAAATCGTGCGAGTA